CAATATAAGTGTGAGGTAGAAACGCGAAAGTCGCCAATTCCAGTATACTGTACTGATACTGTACTGGTTATAAGTTATAATAACAACAACAGCGGCAACAACAACAACAACAACAGCAACAACAGGGGTCTGTAACGCAATGACTAACACCAATGTGGGATATATGCAAAAGCCAGCTATAAGAATGCTTCTCTATGTGAAAATGTTTATTTAGCTAATTAATCTAAGGCATATTACGATATATATTTCAGTAGCCCCATTGCATGAAAGATGATCTCCAGTCCGTGCTGCGCACTCTCGAGGGTTTGTTTACGTTTTTTGTTTTGTCTTATGTAAGACATAACAAAATGTGAACATTTCGCAACTACCTTACATGAATTAAATTCGAAGTTTCATGTTAACCGCCATTATGGACGGGAAGCTTTATCTTTCGTTCTTCCTCATATCATGACTTGATGAAACAACTTCGCAGCTGTAAAAATCAATGAAGCTGTTGGAAAAAAATTGAAACGTAAAGTAGGTGGCTCGTAACGAATAACATCGATTCACATTTCCTCGGGTGATACTTTTTGTGTTTGTAAACATTAGGGTGCTGAGACTGCGCAATACGGATTGCAAAGCATCTCAAAGCATTACTATTATCTAATTTACTGTTAAGACTGTAAAGATCTTAGACACTTAAAATAACATTTAGTAGATAGTTTAATTGTTCAATTAAAAGGCTTTTCTTAATAAAGGTTGCTTTTGAAAACTAATATTACTGGATTGTCAACTGTGTGTCTCATACTGTTCCAGAGAACGTTCTGTCACCAAGAATAAAGCGAATTTTTGCTAAAGGTTTAGGAAGTAATAACGTCAACGAAGATCATGCGAGGCCATAAATACTGGAATAGCACAAGCTTGTAAATTTCTCATGACTAATCATAACAAAAATCTGATCAGCATCATTTTTTGTGTTCTCTTTAGATTCGAGCATCATTCTATTTGAGGGAGAGGGGTCTGGTGGGATTTCATAGATAGTTCCTGCAACAATAAGCCTCCTCTTTATCGTAAATATTTACTCTGTATCTCCTCCTAATCGCAAACTTTTGAGATGACCCCCGCTCAGGATTATCGATGGGACATGGTTGTTAGTGGGGGTTGACTGAATCTGGGACCAGTTGGTGGGGTTGAGGTTTCGCTATTCGGTATCTAACAAAGTATAGGTTTTTTTTGGGGGGGGGGGGGGGGGGGGGGTTCAGCATCCTCCTCCAGGAGAATTTGATTTTCAGAACCTCAGAAACGCTATTTCAGGCATTCTGATGAAATGTTTTGGCACTCCTAGATTAATCCCTTTACGAAAAAAACCGAAACGAAATCTGCTGTTACTTCAGAAGCGAAAAATATTGACGATCACTTTAGTTTATGTTTGCCTTAGCGAGAGCGTTCCTTTTGTAGGTCTTGCGTGACATTTGTAGCTCTTCCGTGACGTTTGCCGCTCTAGCGTGACATGAAATGTTGTCATAAGTTATTCATAATTCGGGACTTTTCTGAGAATTTGATCTCCTGTACACTCGAAGCAAAGATTCTGAAGGAAGCTTCTTCATTGCAAACAGTTTTTCTTCAGTCTCGGTTTCGAGGGCATAATATGCCGCTTTAGTTAGAGGATTTAGACAAAGGTAAGTTGAATAACTGCTTTTTATACTGTTAAGTCGGGTGTGTTCGTTTGACAACTTTGAAATAAACCTTTCGATATTCCCAGTAATCTACGATAATATCAAAGCTTAAATTTAGGAGCTTCAGTTTAATAACATGTCATATTTTGCCTTCTTGTGGACTTGTATCGTCGAACTTAAGGCAGCTACTAAAGGAAAAACGCAGTTAATTTAGCCGAGTAACGACCGAACATAACAAAGACAAAATTATAAAATTCGCTTCCGACAAACTTGTAAATTCTTATTACGTTTTCATTGCACTGCAATTCATATTTTGGAGATAAATCTTTCGCAATTTCCTTTGGTGGCTTCATCAATTTACGATTTAAAAAAGATGTAGTTTTGATGTGGACGTTGACAAAAGGTTGGACGTAGCAAACAGTTATTTCGGTCAATTCCATGTCAGCTAACACTACATGTAAATGGCTGAACGCGGAAGTAAACCGGAACTAAAATATTATCGAAACTATAAACTCGTTGAATAAAATCCGGCCATTAACATTTCATATTTAACTTAACACGGTACTTCTCAGTTAGAAATACCTTGAGGATTCAATGTTGACCAGCGATGTCAGCACAACAAGACCAACTCTCTCTGGTAAACATGTTCATTGCTGTAAAATGTTGCTGAATCACCACTGTTCTTGAACCTGGGCTCTTTTGCCCATATCGTCGTAGATTTGATCATGATAAACAGGACACTCTTCGGTGATTTGGTTCATCGACATTTACTCAGTTTCCTCTGAAGATACTGGAGAAGGTATCACACTACGACTACTACGCGCACCGGACTAAACCCCGGGTAAAGATACCTGGGGCCATTTTGTTGGAGTGCGATGAAGTAAAACCGGACTGCGCCTTGCGCAGCCATATTGTGGGTCTCCGAAGATGTAAACTTGACAGAGGCCGTAAAAATAATTCATTGCTTCAGGTAGCAGCGGGAGTAATAAAGCTGGCAGAGAATATCTGCAACTTTTTTCGAGTCAAAGGCGTGAGAGGACAACCCAAACATATCCAAACTCGTCCCGAGATTTCCGAGATTCTCGGCAAGTCCAGGTCCAGCGATATGTTTTACTGATAAAATCAGAGAATTAGAAGATTACTGTTACACTGGTTCGAGTTTACTGAGTTTGCTAATATTTTCAAACAAAATTAATTGCTTAAAATACCCACAGAAATGGTAAAACTACCCTAGCCTTAAATATTATGTGTGGAATTAACTGCAGGTATTGTATGTACACACTTAAAAATGTTAAGTTGGAAGGGGCAGGGGAGGGGAGGGTGGGCACAGTCACGACATTTGAACCCACTCACCCACTCCACGACTTTGGCGATGGCAAAAGAATAAATTAGAGTCACAGGAAATTTCTAAGAAAGTCTACAATATGGTCGAAATTGCCCATTTCGAAAGCATCTTTTTCCTTTCTCAGAAATCTTACCTAAAAGAAGGTCAAGAAATAACATGGCAGCTATTCCATTGTGTATACCAGACAACTGCGATTGGAATGAGACATCCGGGAATTTCCAACGTGACCAAAGCCAACCTCGCACGGGACTTCAGCTGGTGAATGCGGCACTGCGTAAACTCAAGGCCATTCAGGGACCAGTCTGCGTGGTGTCAATTGCAGGGCCATGCAGAAGGGGCAAATCGTACATCCTTAGCAGAGCGTTCGACCAAGGGGACGTCTTTCCTCTGGGCCATTCGTTTGATCCCGAGACAATGGGAATATGGATGTGGGTGGTTCCAGAGAAATACGTAGATGAACGTGGCCGGGAGTTCACTGTTGTGTTACTGGATTCCGAGGGAACTGACGCCGTTGGAGCCGAAGGCAGGAATGATGACACCATATTCACACTGAGCGTACTTCTCAGTTCTGTGTTGATCTACAATTCTGTTGGTGTGCCTACGCGAACTGATTTGGAAGGACTTGAGTATCCTTTTACATCACACATGAAACTGAGCTTCTATTATTTACCAAATAGAAGATGCTGTTCCATGTACGTTCACTAATAAATTTAAGAAAAATCATTTCTCAACGTAGTAATAAACTTCACGCTCTTGCAATAACGCTCGGATTGAGTTTTCTGTCAAAAAAAAAAAATGTAGTTGTGTACGCGCGCTCGTCGGCTCACTGAGAAATCATAACTATCAGTTTCCTTTCGTCAGTGCTCTTGAGAATTATTTTGTTATTAATATGTCTAAATTCTCCTCGAAACATTAGTAGATTCAGTTGTCTCGGTTAACTCAGACTGGACTATTACCCAGTCCACCCTGGAGCAGTTTGCCATATGAGGAAATTACAGGCTGACCTCGAGGCTCGACCGAGATCGATGAAGAGAATCTCTTGGTTGTTACTCATGCGCTAACCAACGTCCAAGGCAACGAAATTCGTTCCCCTTGACCAGCGGTCAGGACACATGCGGCCTTGAATGTTCTGCTTTGAAGTAGGAAAGTATCGAACTTCCTGTTAAATTGCACAGTAAGGAACGAAGACTCGAGGAAGGAAATTGTCCAAAACCCAGTAACATCCATTCAGGGACACTGTACTTATCTCTATTTGTAAAATAACTGAGCTACTACGCGCGCTCTCATTGGTCGATGGGTGTGTTTAGCTGAGAGTATGTAAACACGGTTGTGACGTTTTAGATTCGCGCGTATTTTTGAGAATGATTTTGTGAAAGCAATAGAGCACTTTTTCCATGGTTACATAGCCCCACCTAAACAATCGGGGGTTGGGAGAATTCTCGGAAGTAATGCAAAAACTCCTCTCGGGTTTGTATAACTGTCTCGAATTCTCCCAGCCCTCCTCGTGTTTAGATGAGGCTATGTAAACACGGAAAAAGTGCTCTATTTGTTAATTATAAGTAGACAAAGAAAACCCTGAAGCGTCTTAAAAGTCGCAGCGACCTCAAGGTTTGGAGAAGGCTTGTTAAGCATTGTTACAAGATTTTACTTTCTGATAAGAGATAAGAAGGAATAATAATTTTTAGATTCCTTGATTTGTTGTAGTCACATCATCAACATTTCCCAGCGAATCCAAGTGATTGCAGGACAACCATTAGCCGACGAGGATTCTCGGAAAGTATTTCCTTCTTTTGTGTGGCTGCTCAGAGATGTTCTATTAAGTCTGCCCAAAGGCGTGGAAAACCTCAGAACGTATTTCCTTGAAAAGGTAACAATAGCACATGCAAGGAATCTAAGGGTCACTTCGGCGATTCATATCGTTCCGTGTAACTTTAACCTGTTGTCAGGCGTTCTTTTTGTCTTCTCTCTCCTGCGCCACCGCCGCGGAGAAAGAAATGATCATAGGTTACGTGCAGCTAAAACTTACGGAGTGGTTACCATGAGAACAAGGATTATACCACTTGGCATGAAATTTTCGTGGAATCTAATTTTCGCGAATTTCGCAGATTTTTCATCGATCCGCGAAAATTAAATCCCGTGAAAACAAACTCCCGCCCAAAAAAATTCCACGAAGATTTACTCCTTTTATTTACACTACTGAATTTCAATGAAATTGGTTGCAAGTAGTGTAACGAAAACGACCTGCCGTATTTCCTGTACAATAATTACGGTAATATGGCTTCCGTTTTTGTTACTTTCAAGTACCGTACATGAAATCCGCGAAAAATTATTCCCAGGAGTAAAGTCTGAAGTCTAAATTTGAGAACATTTGTTCACGCGAAACTCGAAAAATCCAAAATCCAGGAAGTTAAACTCCCGCGAAAATTTCATGCCACGCGGTATAGGGGACTAAAACTCTCACCGTTTATCTCCTCTTGTTTATTGCGGCTGGAAAAATCGCAAGAAAACAGAAACAAAGTGAGCAGTATCCACTTTTTATCTGAAACAGGTTTTCAACGCCCATGGGCGGCCAAGTGAGAAATCTCAAAAAGTAGTCGACAACATCCTCAAGTTTTTTCCAGATTTCGACGCCTTTCCCCTCTGCCCACCGTCATCAAAAGCTGAAGTGATACAAAACTTAACCGAGGAGGGGAGACAGGGGGAGATAAACGTCTCTTTCAAGAAAGGAGTTGAAGATTTTAAACAGATGCTCCGTACCAAGCTGAGTCCAAAACGAAGTGTTAGTGGACAAGGAGTCGTGACTGGAGAAGGTTGGTCAAAACACTTTCTATTTTCTGTTAAATCAAAACTCCTGTATAAAGCCAGGTGGTCGTACCGTCTCGCTTAACTGCTGTGTAGCCAGGCAAATTTCAGTGTAAAGCAGATAATTCTAAAAATGCGCACATAAACTACTTGTACCGAGATTTAGATCTGGAAATGGCCTTATGATAATAAACAATTCATTCAACATCGCCACTTTAATTTAGAACCCTGGAGGTATTGCCAGTTCATCGTGCTTGTCAAGTGGTTTTATGACAATGACCCAGCCTATATTTGAGATTTCTTCAATTATGCTGGATGCGATCTGAGGAGAAATGGAACTATTTTACACCAACCCGATTTTAGCCCTATAAACGGATGAAAAAATCACTTATCTAGGGACCGTTCATCTTTATGACTTAGAGGCGCTGGTGGAATGTAGGGAGAAGGGGCTACGTCAGGTAAGGTAAGGCAAAGTCTGCATACAAGCCAAGTGGCCCACTAGGCCGGAGCTTATCCCGGTTTCTGTAGCATGAAGCGACTGGGAGTATTTCTACTCCCCCCTGGATGGGATGCTAGTCCATCGCAGGGTTACCCCAGCATTAAGTTCGTGGGAACCCATTTATAGACCTGGGTGGAGAGAGACACTGTGAGAGTAAAGTTTCTTGTCCAAGAACTCAACACAGTGTCCCCGGCCAGGGCTCGAACCCGGATCGCTCGATTTGGAGACGAGCGCACTAACCATGAGGCCACCGCGCCTCCCGCCTCCCATAAAGAAAAAAATATGCTTGGTAAAGGGAGAGGATCACTTAAAATAATTGCCATCAAGTGTATTGACGGCATCGATAGCAGTACAAAAAATTCCACCACAGTACCTTAGGTTCCCGGTGAGTATGGCTCCGCGCAAACAGCATCAACACAAAACCACGTCACTAACTGTTTGGTTACAACTACAGTCAACTCCCACTATCAACCATGTCGCATCGATAAACAGTTATAGTTAATCAGTGCTCTTCTACCTTTCTTTCTCTCTGAACAAGCGTTTGTTCAGAACATCACGTGCGCGAAGCGCGAGTCAAAATGACGAAGAAACGATCGCACTCGCGCGTCGAACACGCCATTCTGTTTGTCTTAAAATCCCACTCTCATTCTTGGAGCAAGATTGAGAAAGTGCCAATAGAAATTTGATGATCATATGTTTGTAATATTTTTATGATATTTAATTTCTCCTCAGCCTTAGCAACCCTAGTGGAGGAGTATGTCAGAGCCGCTAACTCTCCTGGTGCAGTTCCTGTTATTCAGAGTGCATGGGACGTGTTTACAACAACAAAATGTACTCAGACACTGAACGATGCTAAAGCGGTTTACGAGTAAGTACTGAATAATAAAGCTGTTATCAATTGAGTGTCGTAGAACCAATATCAAAGTAATCACTTCGGCCAGTCACAAAGGACTTGAAATGACAGAGACAATCCAGTGAACCCATTAATTTTCGAAGTAAATTCATGCTAGTGACGCAAAGCGCGGGAAAACGTGTGCGAGCGAGTCACGACTGGTTTTGGTTTTACTTCTTATTGGATGAAAAATTGGCGCGAGTTTTTTTTTAAGCCAATCGTGTAGCGCAGTAACTCAAGTGAAAACCGCGCTAAAACACAGCACCACACACACGCGTCAGATTCCAAATTGTCTGGAAAGTAAAGATAGAAAATGACCTCTTTGTATCAGTAGGTTCGATTACCAATCACTGTTCAGTGGGAAGATGAGCCGACTGACTCAAGAGAACGGCAGAAATCGCAACAGCTTGCAGGCCCGCTGTATATGGCGGGACAGAACGCAATGCGCGAGATGTATAGGATAAAATATAGTATATCTACAAGCGTTTTCTTTCCTTGCTTCTCTCTCGCACTCCTTGTCTCTCTCGCGCGCTCCTTTATCGCGTTCGCCCTCTGCCCCGCTAAACCGCCTGCTCTGCAGGATGAATGATCCAAACTCTCGTGGGAGTTAAAGAGTTTTCCGGAATATACTTATGTAAACCTCATCGCCTGGGTCTCATGTCAATCATAAACGTTCGATTTCGTCCTAGCTCTCTCTTGGGTTATTTGCATCAGATGATATGTCAGAGACACAACCGCCATGACATATACAATAACCTTTTTACTACGTAGGTCGAGACATTAATTCTTATTACTGATTTTCCTCTTCAGAGGAGGAATGAAGGAATTCAGGGAAAGAGTTCGCCTTCCTTGCGATGATAAAAAGATTCGCAGTTCTCACGAGGACCACTTGCTTGAAGCGTTAACGTTTTTTGAAAGTGAAACAGAAGACACTACAGTGACAGCTCGATGGCTTTACATGGAGGAGTTAGCGGTAATTAATTGTTATTTGGTGTCTGCTCATACCAAATAAAAATAACACTGGCCAAGAATATAACGAGCACGTATCATAGAATTAAGGCTAGTATGTGGCAAATGTTATTTTGCTTAGTTAGTTGGGTCTGATCTGTATCTAGCTGGCGGATCATGTCTCTTATGTTCCCAAGATTTGTCGATGCAGTACATGCGCTATGCTTGCATACCGACTAACAATGATAATGATATGATGATGATGACTGCATTGCTCTTCATTCATAAATCTATTTTTTCCTGAATTTTATAAATAAATATTATTTGGATTGTTTTATTTAAAGCGCATACGCGCGTTTTATTACCTGTTGTGAAAAATATAAGTAAATTTCGGACGCATCAAGTGTAATCATGAAGTCTTTGAAATTAGGAAAGGCGATTTTGTTGCCAAGACTGCAGGTTTTGATCTCTCTGGTTGAAATCCTTTACCGTCACTTGACGAGTTCAAGTTGTTTGTTTGTTTGGTTTTCAGAACTTCGCAGACGAGTCTGAGAGTGCGTTGTTGAGGGAGAATAACAAGTTGACAGAGGAGCAGTGTAGTAATCTTATGAAAACTTTACGCATGGTGTGGTTAGACCCTGTGATCAAAGACCTCCATGATGCTGATAACACCGAATTCCTAGTTCTTGAAGAGCGCTTGAGATCAGTTTATCACAAACTTGATTGTGACTTCAGACAACAGGCCGCTGGCTCCAAGAACTTGTGCTTCAATTTGGCATACATCTACGAACTGGTATGGAGAGTATTTTTGTTGAGTTCTTTATAGAATAATACGAGATTATATTAAATATTGCGCGGATTAACTCCACCAAAAATGTTCAATTTAAGGCAGTCCTCTCTGATGTAACAAAATTGATAATCAGTTCAGTAGATATTAAATTGAATCAAACAAAATCGCCTTTAGCTTTTTATTGTATCGGTGAATGTTATTTTAGAGTGGATGCATAGATTTTGGCGTGTTCGAAGATTGCTCAAACGGGCATCCTCCTGACTATAGCTCCGCCTCATAATGAACCGTCCGCCTAACAGTTTGAATAGCAAAGAGGATTTTATTGCTGAAGACAAATGGAATGGAGGAAGACCTCGGCGTCCCTTCTACAGTTACGCGTGGCTGTTGAAACAGAACATAGGAAAATTAAGTCCGAAAGAAAGCACTCTTGAACAAGTTGTGGTTTAAAAATGTGATTTCATTTTATGGGCTAAAAGACAAAAAACTACGACAGTAACAACACTTAGAACAACAGGAACAAAAACGGAAACAGTGTAAGTGGCTGTCGCTCCTGAATCAAAATGTCGGGATGAAGTTTAGGGTAGTTTATACACCATGTAGGTCGCATTACTAAGGTAAGCCCTCCCAAGGTATTTTCAGATCAGTCCCAGTTTCAGAAATTCTAGGAGGGTCTAGAAAGGGCCATTTCTGTGGTGCATATTTTGGTCACGTGGACAGCCCAAGCACCTTAGACTTTTTTCATTCTCCGCGAAAACATCCACGCAACGCGCGTAGAAACATTATGCGCGAGAAAAACTGGGTACCATGTTTAGAAATAATTTGAAAGAGATTACCTTGGGCTGAATTAAAATCGGAATGGTGGAGTAACTCACTTATCTTTAATCATTTCTTGCCTGGATATAATGTCTACACAAAACAGAGCAGAATATTTCTTGTTTCATGTGACAAAATTTTAGCTAATTTCTTTCCTTTTTCTGTCAAAACGTCAGCAACACTCAGAGGAGATGAAAAAACATCTAGCTCAACTCAAGACAAGAAGGTTGTATTTCGAGCAAATCGCCTCTGAGAGAGCCGCGAAAGAAGCCGAGGCTGAAGAGACAGAAAAAATCAGAGTAAGTTAAACAATAAGTAAGTGAGTTGTTTTGAGTAACCTGATCAGCTGCCTTATAAGTGCAATTAAAAATGAATGCAATATAATTCCATGTCACTTACAGTTTCCTTGTTTTTATTTTATAGCGTGAAAACTTACATTTGGCGGAAAACAGAAAGGATATTGAAGACCGGGTAAGTTGTGCTAAAAAAAACTTACCCCTAACCCAGGACAAAACTATTGAATGATTTGGTGAAACGAACTTGAATAACGTCTTACCGTGTTTAGACAGTCGGGAAACATTTTCAATTTTATAATTTCACCAAATAGACCAAAAATGGGACGCTCTCTAAACAAGGATACCATCAGACCAATATTTTATCATTGTCATTGTAAAAAAATGTTCAGGAGTTCAAGATTGTAAGAAGATGGAGAGGAGGTGCGTTGTCTATTATAATTGCTAAGGGGGAGGGAAAGGTAATCTACAATGGGCTTTTACCCGATCCGGGGGGGCAGGGGAAGGGGGTGGAGTAGCATTGCTTCTAGATGGCACTTTATGTTACGGAAGCTAAACATGAACGCGCTTAGCTCGGGCAGCTGATTAGGGAATAGGTTTGAAACAGTTTTAAGTTTTCTAATCTAAGACATACGTGGCTTTAAGAATATTAGTTAAGTTGAGCAAACTGGTTTAGAGCTGATTTATAATTATTTCTTTTAAATATCAATCGAAGATTGCCAGAAGTTTTCTTGTCGAAAGTGAATGC